ATAAGCCTTGTTGAAGTAATATCAAGTACTCTCCATTTTATTTCTTACAATTTAATTTTTATATTCTCAATTATAAGAAGTGGCATCAAGGTTTTTAAGATCTTGGATTTGTTAGTTTTATTTTATGTGAAGCAAGAATTAGTGTAGTAAGATTATTTGTTGTGATCTTTGTCAAAAGAAAAAGAAAAGAAAAGAAAATGAGTAAAAATAAGAAAATAAAAATATATATTTTCCGACAAGATAACATTAGTCTTTCTTTCAATGGTATCAGAGCTATTAATACTTGATGCTATTAGATGTTTTTTCTCTTTATAGAGTCTAGATCAATTTTGAGAATGAGATATAAGAAAACATTGACCTTTGTAATCAAGTAATACACCTACGGTTAAGAATTATTGGAATATTTCAACACCAGAAAGGCATTCTGCATAATGGGTATTCTGGGTTATTTTGGAGTAGTGATATGAAAGAGATAATGATGAATTTTTCTATTACATACCTCAGTAAAATTGTGTGTCTTTGAAAGTAGGATCTGCCTACAAAATTTCAGTAGGAGATCCTAAGGGAATTGAAAGTTATGGACTCACAAATGAAGGGTGTCAGTTCTGACCCTGTAAAAATCAGGAACTGTCCATTGAGTTCTATGATTTTTCCTACCAATAATATGATTTTATTTCTCGCTGAAATTTTATTACGACTCATAAAATTGAATCTAATTTTAAACAAAAAAATTTTCATCAAGAAATTCGTTGTGGTTTGAAAGATATGATTGATTTATTGAAGGATGCGCAAGTCTTGTTTTCTGCAACGAAAATTATTTCCATGACTTGAAAGTCAAGATTTCATTTCTATTCTTACCAAAATGTTTTATGGCTCAGACTAAGGTTTTAGACTTCCATTCTGAGTATAGTTTCTAATAAAATTTATTTGAGAGAGAAATATTTGAGGGAAGAAACGAATAAAAATTTTGGATTGAAAAAATATCATCCTGAATTTTCTGTAATTTGGTATGTTCTTCATTAAAACATGAGTAGCTATATTTATCAAGCCTACTTAACAGAGTGATATGAGACTTGTGGAAATATATATTTTTATTTTCCTCAAGTGCCTAATAGATGGATATTTCGTGACATATGAAATCAGTTGCGTACTCTTCCAAGATTAAAAAAGTTTGTCAAACGAGTAAAAGCAATAAATCAAGAAAGCTTATGTACCACACTACATGGTTTTAAGGTATGAAATCTATCCCACATTACATGGTATGGTTATATCGGGAAAGATGATTTAATAACTTTTTTATTATGTTTAATATGCTTTGGTTATATTTTTTGGCTAATTGTTTTATAAATATATATGGAGTTTATGGACATTAAGCGATAGGTGCTAACAAATTTGAAAGAACTGATTTTTTTTAATACCATGTGTTTTAGTGCCTCATTGTGCTAGAGTATAAACTACTTAAGCTAGTAATACATATGGAAATGTGATTTGATCAAAAGATTTGAGCCATAAGGATGAAACACGAGAGATATGTGTGGCTCATTCAAACATGTAAGCATGAAGGGAGTATTTTGATGGAACTCGATCTTAGTGACCATCCTCCCAATAATATCCATAATGTGATATGTTGTATGTGATATGATGTGTTGCATGTGATGATGATTTCTTAATAAAGTCTTCATATTTGCTAAAAAAGAAATATTTTGTCAATGCTTTAATAGACATTCTTTAGCCATGTTTTATTTTGGACAAAATTATAAGATGGTATTTATGATTTGTTTTTTTGTAACCATGGACTTGAATTAGTAGGAAATTAAAAGTGAATGTGGTAAAATGATTTATGAATACTAAGCATGTATTTTAAAATTAAAATTGAATGATTTGAGAAAAACCTAAGTCTATGACTTTGAGAAAACCACATAGTCTTGCAAGGTCCACTAAGTCTTTATAAATATCATTTTAAACTGTCATACTAATATATAATTATTGTTTGCAAATATATATATATATATATATATATATATATATATATATACACCAAGTCAATATTTTTTTTTTATTAAAGAAGAAAACATTGTGTCATGAAGGTATTTATAAAAGTGGGATAAAAACTATCATGCATTTTTTAAAACATACTCATATACCATGACTCATGTTTTTAGATATTTAAAATCCTCGATTACCTAAAACCTTGAACCATAGGAAATATTATAAGAATGTCTTCTTACTAAGCTTCCTTGACACATGTTGTGTTGATTAGATAACTTGATTTGTATGAATTTACTACTAAGATAACTAGTGTGGTTGACTTTTTGTGGTTTAGGAAGGTTTTACATATTATGAAACCAACGAGCATTGAATTACATATTACATGAGACTTGATATGTTACTTCATGATATAGGCATAAGAATGTATACGTTGTATGCATAATAATTGAGTGGGAGCGGCTACAGTCCCACGTTTCTTTTAGCTGTGTGGGTATTCAGATATACATGTGCAAGCTATTTCATGGATCCAGATGATGCAAAGCCTACATCTGGATATGTGTTCCTACTTGGAATGGGTACAAATTCTTGGAAATAAAAAAAACAGGATGTGGTGGAATTATCCATTATGGAGGCAGATAAGGATTTTCTGTGACAACACGGTGGCGATATATAAGTCAAATTAGTCACGATTCCATAAGAACTCCAAACATATAAAACCATACTTCTATCACCTGAGGAATGAGGTGAGATTAAGAAAGATCGAGATCTACATAAACTAAATATCCAAGTGGGACCACCAGTTAGCATTTGACATGCCAGATGGAACAACAGATTATAATGTTGTTCACCCATGGAACCTGGTTGTATTGCTACAGAAGGGAGCAACTTATTTGAAGAACTCCTTTGAGCCCATTAACCTACAACCCCATACGATGAGGGTACATGATGGTCTTCTACGACAACAAGTATGTCATTCGCGATGCGATATGAAAGATGGGCTAAGACCACTTTTGGGACGAGATCCGAGTAGCAAAGAGAAAACAGGCATTGCCTCTATAAGGCCTTTTGTAAAATGATTGATAATGAAGGCCATGATTAATGTATAAAGAGAGAATCAGTGAAAAGTGCTTGAGAGAGAGTTTATAATTGGGAGAGAGAGATGGGGATGAGAGAAAGTGAGGAAGAGAGAATGTAAGGCCTTCAAAGGCCAAGTAGGATATGTTGGGTTTATGTGGCCTTTAAAAGCCTTATAAGTGTTTGTAAAATAAAATGATATAGTAGAACATGAACTCAGTGGGAGTGTGGTCTCTCATGGACCATACTAAGCAAACGATATTTGCTAATACCTAACTGTGATTGATAGTCTAGGCCAGTCGGTTAGGAAAAACCCATGTTACCTGGGCATATAATATCATCCGATAAGGGTTTTAATAGGTCACCCCTTATGAGATCGGAGTATATCCGAAAGAGTGAGCCGATGAACTGTGTGACCCTTGTGTGTGATGGTGGCCTACAGAAACGGGGCCAAAGCCTCATCCATGTACCATCACACGGCATGCATATTGATATTCCATTTCGAAAAACAATCCACCTTTCACGGTGAAGCGTATACATGTGCTAGAGATACCCCTATGCACCATAAGAGCTGTGGTCGCATCAGGTCTAAGTGATCTTAACTCGTCTCTAGAAGAGGATTTGAAATTTACAGACTGGGATTGCGACCCCTTGGCTTATTGGTCAGACTTTGGTGACTCGTTAATAAGCCCCTACTTGGATTGTGGGTCATGAAAAACACTGGGTCGGTTCAATAAAGTAAGTGTGGTTTGTAGTCCACATTTGAAGGTGAAGTGCCCTAGATTGTTGATTTAATTCCTAAGCTATATTAATCCATTTCTTATCAAATTAATTTTATTATTTTTGTTTTATGATGAAAATTATTTTAGAGTTATTATTTGAATTTTTATGAACGTCTGGATATTTTATTTATGAAATTTAGATTCGTAAAATTAAAGATATTGAATTTACAATGATTTAAATATTCAAATAAATATTCAAAAATTATTTTTATTATTGTTAAATATCAAATAAAATTTCATGAGGGCCCATTGTGCACATGGGCCCGCTATGTTCTAGAAGGTGGGGCTTTTTCATGATTGGATTTGCTTTTTTATTGATGGGAAAATGGTTTAGGAAAAGGGGATAATGTTTCATGCACCTTCCATAATGTTGATGGCCCATTTATGGAATGGATGGCTCAGATCTCTCACCCGACAAGTCACCCTTGATCAACGGTTCACATTTAATCTCAGTTAAGAGGTAAACTATGGGAAACACTAAGAAACTCAAAACCCAATTTTGCACTATAAATAAGGGTGCACCCCCTTTTATTCTCTACATATCTCTTTTCTCTCTCTCTCTTGTCTGTCTTTAAGGGGCATGCCCCACTCTCTCTTCCCTCTATAGCCTCTCTCTCTCTAGACCTGTCTCTCTCCTAACCTATCTTTAGAGGGGCACACTCCAACCCTAGGTCACCTCCTAGGTCTCTCTCTCATTTTGAATAGTCTAAGGGTTGGGTAGTATGGGATATGCCAAAATAGGTCTTGGGATTAAGATCTGGGTCTGATAAATTCTAAAAAGTTCCATAGAATTACTTTGGCCTAAACTTGTTTTTTCGATTGAGATTGAAGCTAGATCATCGATCCCGCGTCATCGGATGGTGGTGACTCAATGTGGGATGTAATAAGCCCGCTTGAGGTAATCTCCGGCACTCCCCATTTTATTTCTTACAATTTAATCTTTATATTCTCAAGTATAAGAAGTGGCAACAAGGTTTTTAAGATCTTGGATTTGTTAGTTTTATTTTATTTGAAGCAATAATTATTGTAGTAAGACTATTTGTTGTGACCTTAGTCAAAAGGAAAAAAAATGTGAAAAAATAAAAATAAAATTATATAGTCCCCGACAAGATCACAGTAGTCTTTCTTTCATATCACAAGAAAAATCATGTAGCCGATGCAAATTTCTAACTAGAAGAGGATTCGGAATTCATGATTTATGAAGAACTGACAGCTCGAGGATATGGGGAAGTCGAACACTTCACAGAAGAATACGATGGGGAGCTCGGTGACTTCATCATACGCACATTAGAAATGATGGATATCATCGACCAAATGAGGTCTCTGACCCATCTTTCACAGGTATACTAGCAATAGTGAACCTCTTCAAGACAGGATCATACCCTCAGAGTGATAAGATATAATCATGTTGCTTATAACATTATGAAGAACGTAAATTATGTGAAGGTTTGGGAGAAGGAAAGGACTTGATTGCCCAATTACAAGCTGCAGAGCAGGCTGCTAAGAGCCTGGGCCTCGGCAAGGTACAGGTAGCCACCCCTCGCTGATCAATCTTCTTTCCCTACCATCGATGTGGTTACCGAAAGATCCCCTAAATTTCGTGAGAGCCTGATCACCGCACATAAAACGAACTTCGTTAGCAAGGGTCAGGAACGTTTTAATCAGGAATTGAATCATAGTGCGAACCTGTTGTAGGACGACTCGAGTGAAGAAGAGCCAATGTGACGAAGTCCATAGGTGGTCTGATCCTGCGTCGTAAGGATTTTGCCGGATTCCTCCAAGGGAAACCCCTTTAGAGAGCGTGGCACACTCTCGATGGCGGCGAGCATATGTGTATATCATATATGACTTCTATCCTCCATGTCTGATAGAAAATAGCAATTGTATCAACAAACAAAGGTGCAACATGTTGGTATTTGGTCCTGACAGAAAATATTAGGTCTTGGCAATTATATCCGCTGCCCCTGATGCGTCTTGTATCCGACCCTACATCAACAGGAGGTAAATGTCGAAACGTAGGAGCCTAGAACAAATTTGGAATCAAAATTTGAATTCAAAACAGTTCCTCAAGGACACCATACCTTCAATTTCTTTGGGAGGCCCTTGGGTTCCTACCTACTTGTTTCGCATGTCCATCTGTGGACCAGTTTCCAGTAACCATCCATCATCCGAATAGCTCCGGCCACGTTGAAATCCCCATGGCTATGGTCCTTATCATACAATCTGGCACTCCAACACTACAGTGCCCTTGGTGCCCACCTTGGTCCATCATACTCCCCTCTTTGTAGCTGTATAATTCAGGGCAAAAACCATGTCACATGCTCCTCTTTCTTCTAACCACCTCATGCACCCCCGTTCTCCCTGGTTTAGCCGTATGTATGTGACTCTCTACTCCCAAGTGGGAAACTCCACTTCTTAGTTTAGCAATATAGTTGAGGGGGTGTTTGATAATAGGAAGTTAGGGGGAGGAAGAATGAACTTTCTCATTACTATAGAAGTTCCGTGTTTGATATACATAACTTATAAAGTACAAAAGTTCCTCTAGAATTTCCTTATTTCCTCGTGCTTAAAAGAAAATCTTCCATCTAAATGATGGAACTTAAAATAGGAAGTTGGTTTCTCAAATTCTATTATGCCTCCCTCCTTATATTTATATTATTAATTTGCATTTATATTTGCATTATATTATATTATATTGTATATATTATATATGAATAAATAATAATAATAAAATAATTCATTATATTTATATTATATATTATATATTATATAAATACATATTAATAAAATAATGGTGCAGTTTGTATAAAGCCAACACTCTAAACAATCCAATTACAGCCCGCCTTCAAATAGCGTCGAGAAATGTGGTTTCAGTGCTGGAAATCTTTGTGACAGTCTTAAAATATATTTTCATCTTTACATATAAATTTTAAAGCTTAAAAAATAGTGTAGATCAAGTAGATCTATGAAAACTTGAAAATCTTGAAAATTGATGGTCCAAAAATACGTTATAGGATGCACTATTTCCAAAATTTGAACTCCATTTTTTTCTCATGTCCATGCATTTTGATGTCGAGATGATCAATTTGATGATATTAAGGCCCCAAAACAACCTCTTCGACTGAAATTTTTGAGGTCGGCTCTAATTTGATTGTTTAGAGCCTCCGCTCTATATAAATTTTTCCCATAAAATAAATATAAAATATACTATATTATATGATAAATGATACTATGAGACCCTCCCACACCCATGTGAATAGGACCCCAAAAGATCACCATTAAATTTTGATACAAATCTCTAGAAAACTTATCAATAAACCCATTCGTCCAAGTCCTATACCCATGTCATAACTTTTCTAGAGATCTATGTCAAAATTTAATGGTGATCCTTTGAGATCCTACTCGCATGGGTGTGGGAGGTTCTCATAGTGTCATTACTCATATTATATATTATATTACGTTATATATAATATATTTACTTAAATTATTATTATACATTTGCATTATATATAATAGGAAGATGCTACAAAATGCCTATAGGAAAAAATGAACAGTGATTCACCTAGTCTCATCACTGTCCAAAGTTCATCACACAGTAACGATTGTCTAGTAGTGTTTCATTTTTCAATTTTCTTTTTCTACAAATCAGAATGACTTGAAATTTGGAACGTGTGTTCATAAAAAATAGGCAAATCTATAAAAAAAAATATAAAAAAAATATTTTATATGAAAAAAGTGACCAAAATGCCTCCGAAATGTTTGGGGGGTATTTTGGTCAATTTATTTTTCAAGAATTATTTTTTTCATATTTTTATTAGGTGCACCTCACTAAGATGTACAGACTCTAAATTTCATATCATTCCGATTTGTAGAAAAAAAAATGAAAAATAAAACACTACTGAACAATGGTGACCGTGCGATGAACTTTGGATGATGATGAGAGTAGGTGAAATCACTTATCATTTTCGCCTATAAGCATTGAGAAGACTTTTTCAATATAATATATATATGTTTCATATTTTATTGTATAATATATAATAATAGATATTTATAATATTATATATAATAAAAATATATATTTATTCTAATAGAATAAATATAAAATACAATATATAATATATTATATTACGTAATATATATTATATATTATAAATATGTAGTATAATAATTGAAATATAAATATATAATACTATATATTTTATTATATAGTATATATTAAAATAAATATAAAATACACTATATTATATATTATATTATGTAATATATATTTATATATATAATATATTTTATGTATGTAATAGATATTTACAATATAATATATAATATACATTGTTTTATGTTTAATATAAAATAATATTTAATATTTTCATATTATGTATATAATATTTAAATAATCATGACTTTATATTCTTACCTAAAACTTTTTAGACATTTCAGCAAGTTATCCACTTAAAACTTCCTTAAATAACCTCTTTCTTACCGCAAAGAACTTTCAATTTCATTTCAAGAGGACATTTACCCTCCTGTAAACTGGCCCTTGGGAAACGGTGCTTTGTCCCGGCAACAAAACAGGTATCTTTCAACAAGCACTCAATTATTGCCTTTACATAAAAAACACTATCAATGTCCTCTTCTCGTCTTTTTTTTCTTTAGCACATTTCAACCTTTTTATTTGCTTGAATTTTTTACATTCCACACGTGCCATCAAATAGTGTATGTGCATCTCCACAAACAAGTAAAGAGTTCCCGCATTTGATCGTATCAACTTGTGGTGAATTAGGAATCAGGCTTGAGCTTGAGTAGTTAAACAGTTGACGTTAAGCAATGTTGTATGTCAAGTTTGATTCCTGACAGCCGTTCACGTCAAACAACACTGTATCACAAAGTCGATTCCTACAACTACCAAAAACAAAATAAAAAATAAAAAGAAAACCACATATTGGATAATCCACATACCCATATTATGATGGCATAATCCAAAGCTGAAGTATATTTCGCACATAAATTATGCTCCCTTGGGAGCTATTGTGCATCTACTCACTCAAATCACTTACTTTAGGTAAGAGTTTTTTAGTCTAAACTTTTGCCAACCACAAAAGAATTCCTAGATTTTTTTTTTTTTCTTTTTTTAAGAAAAAATTTGTATTTTGAGTCATGTGATACCTAGATCTGGCCCTTCAAAAATTGGACAGCCTCTATTCAATCTTGAAGCATTAGTTTTTCCAGTACATGGAGTTCTCTTTGGAATTTTTTTTTTTTTTCCTACTGTAATTAGCCTATAGATTTTAAAGACTATATCCCTAAATTTGAGATCTACACAATATCCCTATCATGCATTTTATCCAAGGGAGTAAATAGATATTATACTCTCTCGAGATCTAAACAATATCCCTAGCATGTATTTTGTCCAAGGGAGTAAATAAATATTATACTCCCCAGGGAGTAGGAAATCATTTGGGATATATAAGAATAGACTGCAGATGTTTTAACGCAGGTATTTTTTTGTGCAATTTATTTGCTGGTAAAGTTACAAAAATGGATTCTCCAAAACAGCAAAAAAAAAAGAGAATTAAGAATAAAAGGAAAATCTAAAACCCAAGAAAGCTTAACAATTATCAGCAAAAAGGAAAAAAAGTAAAACTATAATGCCAATTTCCATATGATTTCGCTTACATTTTGAATATATTATATTTTTACTGTCTTTTACAATCTAATAGCTTATACTTTCCATGTAAACTTATTTTTAAGCGACATTAGTGGAAATGCCTCCATCAAAGCTTCCCAAAGCATCAAAAAGCCACAACATTGCAAAAAATAGAGATAAATGGCCAAATTCTGGGCTTTAACGGTTAAACATGTTGCCCTTGGCAGAATTAATTTAAATTTCAACGTTGGAGATCTTTCTTATGTGTGTAGCTACTTACTGAAAACAGTTCATTCAATCCTTTGTTTCCAATGGGTAAACAGGTATTGAACACAATCTTGAGGTTGTCGAAAAAAAGCAACTTTGAATTGAGCTGTGGTTTTCGAACCCAAATTCACTTTCATATCTTAGTGTATATAGGTAGGGTTATTTCTCCCACATTCTGGTTTTCTTGTAATGCTGAGTCTTTAGTAACATGCTTTATTTATATATATATAAGAAAAGAAAAAGCCTTGATACGGGTGTGATTCATGATCAGTGGTACTAGAAAATGATGGTACATGAATGATATTGTTTTTATATATTAACCTGGATGATCTTTGTTCCTCTCACTAAAAGCAACGATTACCTATTTCATTTTATGGTCATCAAGAAGGGAACATGGCCCTTTCTGAAATTTTTGGGGAGACTGATGCACCTGGGAACCACATTCCAGTTAGTGGAATGGTGTACTACAGCCTGGATTGGAGCGCAGCAAATATGAATCATGTCTTCCAAAGTGAATCACATATTGGCTGGTATTATTGAAACTGGTGTCAAGCTGTAACAGATAAATAAACAAAAGAAAGTGATGAAGTATGACATTAAAAACAAGTAGCAGGAATTGGACTAGGATGGCCAAGATAAGAAGCAAAATTATTCGAAGTTTATCTTTCATGAACTATAGCCTCATTTGACTACTATATCCATATGGCTCAAAAGCTGTAAACGTTGAGCATAAGAGAGACTAGTTTTTTTTTTTTCCCCCATCAGTTCTTGATAGAGCAACAGTAATAGCAATTCATTGCATACCCAGGCAATATTGATTCGAGCTGCATGAAGCAAATCATGGTTCAACTCTTAGAATATTGTTCTGTATATTATCCTTTGTAATAAATTCTCTTTGGGAATCGATCATCCAATGACCATCCACTATGAATTTTATCTGTTCCAAGCAAAACAAATGGTTAACAAACAGATAGTGTATAAAGTAATATGGCTAATGAGCTCAAAAACATTTTGAAATTCAACAAATACGATGGATACAGGACTTGGTTGAACATGGAGTTTGAAAATGTGGCAAACTGGAAAAATTTTAGTCGACTCTGTATGTCACACATTAAATACATGACGCGCCAAATATTATAAACCACACAATAAAACTACATAAATCAAACACTCATTGGGGATAGCTAACAAGTCACAAACAGACCTTTATGCACTAGATTTCATTTTCAACTCCTTATAAAAAAGTGAGGAAGCTGGTCAATTCTTTGCTCTACAAAATTAACATGCAGAAGTTAAATGTTGAACAAGTTTAGTAACTGTAAACCCCAAATAAACATGGACAACAGTGGAATATGACCAACCCCATTACATCATATCGACAGCAGGATTGTTTTTAAGAACGTTAGGAAAGAAAGACCCAAATGATTGGCACTAGAAATAATAAATGTGCTTCAATGTGAAATCCAACATTATATATCAGTTATAATCCAATGGTCTTCTATTAGACATCCTGTGCATGTGCAGAATAATATCAATGTAACTCACATATTTGCTTATTGACATTTTCTTTTCTTTTGCTGGTAGGTAAGCTAGAGATGGGTGTTTACATGGGGAAAACATTCCTAGGGCAGCACTTTACCCTGGAAACTCATCCCTAGCTGCTCTGTATATTGGTCCTAAATAGATTTTTTCTGTTGTTTGCTCTTTAGTCCCTTCTATT